TAGTAGAATATTTTTGGTTTAGTCCACATACATATACTATAATGTTAGGGTAATTTTTAATTTGTAATGTTAGTAGAATATTTTTGGTTTAGTCCACATACATATACTATAATGTTAGGGTAATTTTTAATTTGTAATGTTAGTAGAATATTTTTGGTTTAGTCCATATACATATACTATATTGTTAGTGTAATTTTTAATTTGTAGTGTTAGTAGAACATTTTTGGCTAACAAAAAAAAAAAAGTTGGCATTAATAACATATTTTTAAAGACCAATTGTTCATTTTTCATGAAATAAATTATTCTTGTTCTCTTACAAAACATTCAAACATCTGATATGAAAAATGAGATTGAAGTTGTTTTTAATATTTATTCATTCAATTTCCCTCCCTCCCTTGATGGCTCAGCGGTAAGTTTGAGGGCTTATAACGCCAAAACTCGGATTTCTATACCCGTACTTGTCACCGCACAGATAATCCAAACACAATACATCACCACAGTATCTCTGTGGAACATAACATTCGTTTTATGTCAACAACTGGCTTATCAACAATTGGCATCCTCCTGAGGATGACGTTGTAACGTCGAAACATGTAGAGTCGTCAACTTTAAGTCAACAATTGACTTATATGCTGCTTGTACAGCACTTCTGTGAGGGCCCTCGGGGTCTCTCCCTTTCTCGTCACTAAAATCTGCATTTGATATTACATATCTCACTGTTATAAAGGAAATACGTTTCAGTTGCTCATAGTTTATAACAGCTGTGTTTGTAGTTTGACATTTTTGTAAACTTCGCCTTTATTTGCTTAGCTCCTACGATATAGTACAGACTTATCTGTTGAGTTGATGAAATTGTTTTATAAGAGTTTCAAAGAAAATATCTGTGTAGATTAATATCTGACAAAAAATATTTAATCTTTTATCTTGTTATTTCGAAAAAGATCAGGACAAGTGCATACAGTATGGGTACACGTCCTAAAAACTTACTTACTTACTTACGTGGTAAACTTACTTCCTTTATATTATTATTATCCTATAACAAGTCTAGTCTAGTTCGATCTTCTTTGTCCTTGTTACACATTCTGTTTGCTGTAAACCCTATTGTACTTGGATCTTCTTTGTCCTTGTTACACATTCTGTTTGCTGTTAACCTTATTGTACTTGGATCTTCTTTGTCCTTGTTACACATTCTGTTTATTGTAAACCTTATCATACGTGGATCTTCTTTGTCCTTGTTACACATTCTGTTTGCTGTAAACCTTATTGTACTTGGATCTTCTTTGTCCTTGTTACACATTCTGTTTATTGTAAACCTTATCATACTTGGATCTTTTTTGTCCTTGTTACACATTCTGTTTATTGTAAACCTTGGTCCACATGGATCTTCTTTGTCCTTGTTACACATTCTGTTTATTGTAAACCTTGGTCTACATGGATCTTCTTTGTCCTTGTTACACATTCTGTTTATTGTAAACCTTGGTCTACATGGATCTTCTTTGTCCTTGTTACACATTCTGTTTATTGTAAACCTTGGTCTACATGGATCTTCTTTGTCCTTGTTACACATTCTGTTTGCTGTAAACCTTATTGTACTTGGATCTTCTTTGTCCTTGTTACACATTCTGTTTATTGTAAACCTTATCATACGTGGATCTTCTTTGTCCTTGTTACACATTCTGTTTATTGTAAACCCTGGTCTACATGGATTTTCTTTGTCCTTGTTACACATTCTGTTTACTGTAAAGCTTAGTCTACACGGATCTTCTTTGTCCTTGTGACAAGTTTTGTTTACTGTAAACCTTAGTCTACATGGATGTTCGTTGTCCTTGTTACACATTACACATTCTGTTTACTGTAAAGCTTGGTCTACACTGATTTTCTTTGTCCTTGTGACAAGTTTTATTTACTGTAAACCTTAGTCTACATGGATATTCGTTGTCCTTGTTACAAGTTTTCTCTATTGTAAACTTTAGTCTAGTTGGTTGTTCGTTGACCTTGTTATAAGTTTTCTCTACTGTATACTTTATTCTAATTGGATGTTCGTTGTCCTTGTCATTGAGAGAATGTTTCTATTTGCTGAGCTGTTGACACTTATCTAACAGAGAAGTTCTCAACAGGTGGCGCTTAACATCGTGTGCATAGAAATCAAAGAGAATATTTTTGGAATGAAATAGTAATAAAGAAGCGGAAACATATTGAAAAATAAATAAAGGGAAATTGTCACACATGTTTAGAAAACGAATTAACACAGCAATAGCAATTATATTAAAACAGCACTTAATTTGTATATGATATTTAACTCACTAGTTGATAAACCCTTTCAAACTTAGATAAATTTTTGATCTGAAAAGAACAATTTGATTACTCCACCTTATTAAAAAAATTATTTACTTACTTAATCCCTTCTGTGCATAAGAACGCTTATTAAAACTTATTATTCTAAAATTACTGTCGCCTCCTAACGAATCGTTATTGAACAAACTTTAATAATGCGTAAACGAGATACATTTTGTGGAAAAATGTATTTAAAAAAAAGTCCTAGCTGTTGTAGTTTACTTTTAAATATATTTTTGTTTTATTTGAAGTTAAGCGCAAAGCTACACAATGGGTTATCTGTGCTCTGCCTACTACGGGTATCGAAACCCAGGTTCTAGCGTTGAAAGTTCGCAGACATACAGCTGTGCCACTGGGGACGGGGGGGGGGGAGGTTCAACCGTACTTCTCCACTTCTACCTGAGCAGCGTTTATTGCGACATTATGGACTAAACGACTAGGCCAGAGACTTCTAAGGTTCATGTAAGGACTTCCCAAATTTTAAAACCACTGTCCAGAGGGAGGGCACACATTCAGCAACACCATCCGCCACCGTAACTTTACTATCTGTATCTTTGAGTCAAATAATGGAATTGACTACAACTTTTGTAATGCGTCCTCAGCTGAAAATGAAGACAGTGTTCAGCAGCATTACGTCTCGAATTTCGGACTTTTCCATCCCCCAGCCTGATACGCTAATCACTACGCCAGTGCTACCCTTGACCTTTTTATAGAGGGCATTCTTTAACCCTTTAATATCTAATTGGCTGAAAATGTTCTAAATGTCATCACCGGAACAGCACCTGAACTGAACACAGTTCCAATTTCTTTCCCGTGAAAAACAGGATCAGTTACAAATAAATTTTAACTTTAATAAACTATCAGAATGTGTCTAATATAATTTAAAAATAAAGCTAAAAGTGTATTTTTAACACTAGGAATCATGGGTAATAAAACATATGCAAATACATAGTCGCGGCGGGGTACAAGGATTAAGTATGAAAACAAGATTTAACACTTGGAATACAAAGGAGTTAAAATCATAAATAATATGAATATAACTTTATACACGAGTGCAAAAATACTATAATTACAAAATACTGTTCCGTCACTCCAGGAGTAAGTTATTTAACCAATGCTGATAAGCTTTTCAGATCGTGATACTTCGGTATCGTTATTCTTATCTGAATACAACCAATCATAAACGTTGATTACTTTCCAAAAGAACAGCTATTAGTATCATGAACGATAGGCTTAACAGCGCATGTATACCGAATGCGTCAAATAGTAGTTTCAGCGTTAGCACATATAAAACAAGTCGTCGTTACGTTTCAACATCATTGGTAAGTTGTTGTTTGTTTGTTGTTGTTTATTTTGGCAAATATATCTAGTTCTTATATTATTATTATTTTATTTCTTACGTCGAGAAACAAAAAATGTCAGTAGAGTGAAACAAGTTTTAATTTTCAAGAATGGAGGACGTGATAAGGCTGTGTGCACCTTTTTTTTTAACAATTTAAAAATAAACTTGTGAAACCTAACGAGTATAAATATTCGGTACACGTGCACAAGGTTGCTTGCAAACAAATGTTTGAATGTTGCGAGTATATTCAAGTTTTAATTACTAGTTTCCCGAACCGAAATCGAGCTTTAAATCGCAATGTTACGAAATACGAGACATTCTTACCCGAATTATTAAGAAATACACCTTTCTACCATAAATGCTCCAAAAGTGCCCTTCGTTCTTTATCATCAACAGCTACGAAAAGACACCTGATTTCACACCCTGCTTGTTGCGAGTTATTGGGGGGGGGGGTTGAATTTCGCGCAAAACTACACGAGGGCTGTCTGCGCTAGCCGTCCCTAATTTAGCAGTGGAAGACTAGAGGGAAGGCAGCTAGTCATCACCAACTCTTGGGCTACTCTTTTACCAACGAACAGTGGGATTGATCTAAACATTATAACGCCTCATGGCTGAAATGGCGAGCATATTTTGTAGGAGAGGGATTCGATCCCACGACCCGCAGATTGCGAGTCGAGCGCTTAATCACTTGACCTTAAAGGATGGAACAATAGATCCATTGTTGTCCCTAAACAAAGGAGTCTTCCAGTGGGAGAGTGGTAAATTTACGTTCATACAACGCTAACATCTGGAGTTCGATTCCAGCGGTAGACACAGCAGATAGCCCTATGTGGCTTTGCTTTAAAAAAACGAACGAATTATCTAACTTGAGGTTTTGTTACCTCAACAAGTGTTTCAGTATGTGTGATATCAGACTTATTTGCTTTGTGATTCAATGTAGACGTATTGTTACGCCTCCAGTCGTCAGTTGATTTTCCGTAAATTCGTTCCGACGAAACTTTAGCGACACAAGTCCTTACTTAATAA